GATTCTGACCTGGGCTGGATGCAGCCCCGTGGTCAGTCAGAGTCCTGTCCTCCCCCACCGTGGGCGCTGACCACACCACACGGGGCTGGCTCTGTGTGTGGCCTGGCATCCCGCAGACCATCTTCAGGCTGCAGAGAGCACAGCCTGGGGTGGGGGGCTTTTCCCCAGCAGGCAACGGCATGACTCAGCAACCAGCACCTTTGGTGGAGGCAGGACCTGACAGGGATGAAGCAGTCACTGGGGACGAGGTGGCCCTGGGCTTGTGTGGAGCAGATGTCAGAGCAGCCCCGCCTCAGCGAGGTTCTGAGAAGGAATTTTCTGGAGTCTGTGTGCACTCCCTGTGGATCGACCCTCTGTCTTGGGTGTCTGGGTAACCTCAGAAAATCTCAGGGCAACGGAGTTCTGAGCTAAACGCCGATGTCTCCAAAGTGAGCTTGATCACGCCAGCTATCACCCGAACCTGGAAACTGATGAAAGTGAAAACTGGTGCTATTAATAATTATGCCCGACAACAAGGGCAGCTGGCTGTGCTGGGCAGACCAGGAGGGGCTGCCAGCCCGCTTGGGCAGCCTCTGCAGAGGGGGTTGGCCGGCTCTGCTCTGTGGTCTCTCCGACGGGCCAGCTGGTCGTAGTCAAGAGGCCTGGGCAGGGGCGGGGGGGCGGGGAACCCTGAAGTGTCACACGTCTGCGTGAGCATTGTGTCCTCAGGACAATCTGACTCTTGAGCCTGCTCCCGTTTGGTCCTGGCACAGTCCACACAGCCCAACTGAACCACTGAGCACTCATTCGTTTGCATTTTTTTCTCTGTTGCAAAAAGCACTTGTTACTAGAACAATAGTAGTTGCTATTTAATGGAGTGATCAGTTACTTGGGACCAGCCACAGTGCTCTAGACTCACCCTTAACAGCCCTTAATGATCTCTTGCTCTGAGCTGGGCACTGACTTGTCAGTTAGGGGTGAATCAGTGAATGACCCAGCCAGGTCCTGAGCAATAGCTGGGAGAATTTGGTGACCCTTTCTAGTTCCAGCTCCTGGTGTGGCCTCTCTGCCTTGCATCTGGCGTTCTTTCCTCGCCAACGTGCCTCCTGTGCCCCAGGCATACCAGCTCCTTCCTTACCTCCAGTCCCGTTCTGTGCATCCTTCTGGGTCCCAGCTTCTCATCCTTGAGGGTCCTGCTCTGTGGAGCTTTCCAGTCCCTGGGCCGAGTGGTAACTCATTCCTGCTCCACTAACACACGTGGCCATGTCTGTGGCCCTGGGCCTGGGACATGGTGGCCCCATCCCAGGGGCTTCCTGCTGTGGAGGGGCCCCTGGGGGCCTAATTTTTCCTGCTCTGGTTTTCCACATGGACACTGACTGCTTTCCAATCACAAGGAAAGTAGGCAACACTGATGGGGCACTTGTGGGGTGCTGGGCCCCAAGCAGAGGGCTCCGCCGATTCCGTTGTGTGGCGGAGCTGCTGCTGTCATCCCTGCCGCACAGACAAGGAATCGAGGTTAGACATCAGGTGACTCCCAGGCACATCGCGGATGCCTGGCAGGGCTGTGATTTCATCCCAGGTCTTTTGATCTGCTTCCAGGATCTTAAGCATATGCTGAGCTACTGAGAAGCATTCCCTCCCTGCCCTCTGTGGCGGGGGGTGGGGGGGGTATGCCTGCTGCAAACTCCCACTCGGCAGCTGTGGTCCCACTTATGGGCTGAACCCGGCACCTTGTGGAGCCCACAAGGTGGTTTCTTCAAACCTGGTAAAAAAGGCAGGGGAGGGGGTCGGATATCTGGTGCAGGAATCTTAAATGGTGACAGACCAGTGGTGACTGCCTCGATCTGTCCCCTGGGCCATGCAGCTATGGGAGCATTCAGGCTGCTCCCTGAGGTGTCTTTCCTAGGTCTTTGATGGGGGCCACGCTCCCAGAGTCACCGTTGGGTGGTAGCCCAAGCTCACTGCCAGCCCTGTGTCCTCCTCTGTAAAATGGGGCTACGGAACATCTGTTCTCCTATGGGGTTGTGGTGATGATTGAGACTGAGCCTCTATCTATGCATCTCTCTGTACCTCTGTATATGGACACCTGTCCCTCCAACTGTGGCCAATGTGTGCCTGCGTCCACGCTTGTACCTGTCTGACCTGGTACCTACACCCGCAGCGACCTGTCTCAGAGCCGGGCTGGCATGTGGTGACGCTATGCATGTGGGAGCGGACTTAATAATTTATTAACCAAAGGCCAAGTGCAGGAGCACAGGACTAGGTCTCTTTGAGGGCCTGCAAGGACGCTCACCCTCTACTGCCTGCCCCATACTGCCCTCTGCCTCCTCCCCAGCCTGCACTGCCCCCCACTCCCAGGCCTGACCTGCTGGGTCCCTGGTTTCCCTTCTCTCTAACGTGCTCAGCAGGGACCCTGGGCCTGGCCATTTGAGCAGCAGGTTTGTGAGAAGCTGCTCCCTTTGCCTCTGTCTGAAGTGTCCCTGGCTGCTTCCCCTTTGGGGGTTATTAAGAATGTTGCATTAGGTTTAGGCAAGCAAGCCGGCATTGGGTTTCTCTGCGAGCATGGTTCATGGAATAATCCTGCCGGCACCTCCTGGGGACTCCCCCATGGGCAGCTGGGGACAGTGCGTGAAGTCCACGTGACATCCCGATGGCAGCAGGGCCCTGACTTGGGGGACGGAGGGCCTCGTGAGGGGCCGGGGGAGGTGTGTGCAGGAGTGGGCAGGAGAACTCTGGACTCTTCCTTGGGCCTGGGAGAGGCAGAGGCAAAGGTCCCTAACCCTTGGGAGGGCCAGGTTCTCTCCTGTCCTCACCACAGAGGGCGAGCTGTCAGCGCATGGGGCTGGGTGCAGACATAGGCAGGGCCTCCTTGCACCCTCCATGGCTCTTGTCCCTGTTGTGTAGGTGTGAGCAATCAGGCTGTCCTGGCTCACCTTGTGGGTGTGATGGAATCAGACCCGAGGGCCGCTGGTTTGCTCTGCTTCCCCGTACCACCATGCCCACCTGGCCCTGCTCTGCCATCCGATCTCAGCCCTCTGCAGTGATGCTGCCCTTTCCTTGGACTCTGACCTGAGATGTTGGTGCCTGACAGCAGACTGGGGCCATGTCTGGCTTCCTCCATAGCATCCGTTTCTTCTTGGGGAGCTTGCTTGGTTTTCCTGCTCACCCTGCTGGCCCCACTTATCCCCTATTGGACCATGCCAGAGGGTGGCCTGCAGGGCCCACATCATCACTCATGCCTGCTCCATCTGAGTGGCTTTGGTGTATGATGGTGCTTGGTGGCTTTCTTACACCACGTGCCCTCCATGGGAGCTGGCAGAAGGGCTGCTTTTTTTCCAGCAGTGGGTAGGGCGGCCTCAGCTCAGCAGTGGTGGAAGTGGATGCTGTTGCACCAGCTGGTGCCCTGGGGTTGTTTAAAGAGGAGCAGTTGGGGTTTCTTGGGCTTGCAGACCGAGCCTCCCGATTTCTGTGTGGTTCCATGAAGCGGAATCTGGTTAGAAGGGGCCTGAGCTGCTGGAGGGGGTCTCTGTCTGTAACTGAAATGTAGCGGTCATAAGAGAGGCACAGGCATGTGTGTGTATGTGGGTGTGTGTGTGCATGTGTGTATGCAGGGTGAGGTGCGTGTGCATGTGTGTGTGTGTGTGTACGTGTGTGAGATATGGGCAATCGATAGAACTACAGCGTGTTCTAACCTAGTGCCCAAGCCGAGTGCTTTTTGTCTAACTAGGCAGCTTCCGTTAAAATTGGCTCAACTCTGCTGAAGTCTTTCCATAGGCCAGGCAGGGGTCTAGACTCTGTGGGTCACTGCCCCGTGTGATGAGCCAAATGGAGAGAAAGCCTCGGACTTGGCCTTGAGAGGGTCTGAGTCCTCACCAGCTTTCTGAGGGTCTGAGTTCTCTCCCACCTTTGTAAACAGCACAACTGAAGTGACAGCATAGGGACTGGGCTGGCCCAGAGGTTTCCTAACCCAGCCTGGGGAGGGTCTTCAGGCAAGGATTCCTGGTGGAAGTGGTGACAAAGCAGAACCTTGGAGGAATGGAGGTAGGCACACAGGTTGGGAGAGGGCATTCCAGCCAACGAGCAGCATGGAAAGGCCCAGAGCTGCCCAGGATGGAGGATGCTGGTGTCTTAGAGGAAGTGCAAGCAGTTCAGTATGGTGTGGGGGGTGGAAGAGGTGAGGATGGGCTGGGAGGCAAGGGTCTGGCCCGGATCACGGGGCATGCTTCATGCCACTGCAGCCAAATGTGTTGCTGCTGAGTGATTCTAGGCAGAAGAGTAATATGAACAGACTCGAATTTTAGGAGGATCCTGCTTGTTGAGGTGGAGAGTGGGCTGGAGGCAGCTTTGGTTTGGACATCTGGGTGGGAGACGATGACTGATATGAGGCCGTGGCAGTGGGGTGAGGGGAGCTCTTGAACTAAACCTTTCCATTTAATTTGCCTAGCAGCCATGCAAGGTGAGGATTGTTTTCTTTCTTCCTTTCTCTCTTTCTTTCTTTTTAAGATTTATTTGTTTATTTTAGAGGGGTGAGGGGCAGAGGGAGAGGAGGGAGAAAGCACTTAAGCAGACAATTGCAAAAGGCCCAACATGGGACTCTGTCCAAGAACCCTGAGACCATGACCTGAGCCAGAATCAAGAGTCGGACACTCAACCAACCAATCTGAGCCACTCAGGTGCCCCAAAGATTGTTTTTCTTTATTTGTCTATGAGTAAACCAAGATTTTAAATGGTAGAGTCACTCTGCAAGGTCCTATTCTGTAGGGTTGGGATGCACACCTAGGTGACTGATGGCTAGTGTCTTTCTGTACCACTAGGCTATCCTGCTTTTCACTTAGGGGTCTAGGGTGGAGTGGTGTTTAAGCAAACCATACAGAGAGGGGTAGGTGCCCTCCCTAGGCACCTGTAGGCTGGCCCAGCTTCCGAACCTGGCTTCCCAGGAGAATCACTATGGGAGGTTTTAAGATGTGGTCACACCTGGGCCCAAGCTCTGATCATTGCAGTTCCACTTCTGGAGGTCAGACATGGGCAATTTATATTTTTAAAATGGCCCCAGCTGATTCTCATGCCCAGTGAAGGCATAAGACTACTGGTCCCAGGCCTCAGACTGGTGACATGTAGATAGCAGGGAGCCTAGCAGGGAGCTGCTTCCTCCCTCTAGCTGCTGGACATGACTCTCTTGAATCTGGAAAATCTCATTAAAGACAAAGTCACTTTTCGTGATAGTTTTTTGTGCTGAATTTTGGAGATGAACTCTGCAAAGGCCTGCATGAAGCCAAACCACCTGGCTTGTGAGCAGGAAAGGAGAGGAGATGAAGAAACATGAAATGGCACAGTTTCCCTCCAGTCTAGCACAGCCGTGGTGAGAAGTTCTCCCTGAACAGCCTGCCCTCCTTGCTGCACCTCATAACCCATTAGGAGCTCCTGGCTATGATGGGTGCAGCTCCTCCATGTACCTCGACTCCTGTAATCCCAGCAGTTCAGTGCCAGGAGCAAGATGAATGTCAGGTCCCCTCCCTTCACAATTTCTACCTCTCTTACTTAAATAAAGTGTTTCATTTTCTTCCTCCCAGAAGAAGCTACCTACCTTCTTTCCTTCCAGCACTTACTGATGGTTTCTTCTGTCTGTGCCAGGTCCTGTCAGAGGGCCTTTAGGGATCATAGGAGTGAGCCCGTCTCTGCCTCTGTCCTGTTGAATTATCAGTATAAGGATCAGACAAGAAACACGTAGAAAAGGAAAAGGGCTCTTGGCCTTGGTCGGGGGACACAGTGCCCTCGGGGCTCAGAGGAAGCATGATTCCATTTGGCTGGTAGTCGGTAAAGGCTTCTTGAAGGAAGAGGCATTTTCAGCTGGTCTCTGAGTCCTGGGGAGAACCTGCATGTGAACAGAAGGAAGAGTAATTGAGGATGGCGTGGGGACCATCCAAAGAGAGAGGTGAGAGAAAATCCTTGAAAATTTTATGCACTGACAAGGGACACTGTGGGGAATGTATGGGGAGTAGTGAATCAGTTTAGCTGGTGGAAGGGCCAGTGAAGGGGGGAATAATGTTGGAAAGGTAGGTAGGGGCCAGGTCACAGCCTTGAAAGCTGTGATTGTCTGGACTGGTTTCATATTGGATGGGGGCATAAGAGGAGAACTTTTGTAAAATAAATTAAGACGGGAGACAAGGGACATAGGTAGAGCCACCAGCCCATTACAATGCAGGTTACCCATGACTGAGAGAGAAGAGCTTTGCTCCTCTGGTTTTCATAAGGATTCTTATCATAAAGACTGATCCCCATGTAAACTGTTAAAGTCTCATTGCATTCAGTAACATTGATGTTCTGAGTTTGCTGGCCATACTGAAGAGTTGTTGAGTTTGGCCTTGACCCTGCTCCTGAAATGGAAGAGCAGGGAATCATTGAAGGAGCAGCAAGTAGAGGAGGGAAAAGAAGGAAGAAGGAGATTGTCATGGTAGAACTTTTGTTAGATTGGTCTCTAAATCATGTTTTTGATGCAGATAGTGAATCATTGTATTTTTAAATATTTCAACTTGTAATTGCTCATTGCCGGTATGTTGATATAGTTTGTATCTTGTATATTTATCTTGTATCTAGCAATGTTGCTAACCTCATTTAGTTTTAGGTGTGTGTGTGTTTGTGTGCATCCCATCCAATTTTCTACATAAATGATCACATTGTCTGTGAATAAAGACAGTTCTAGTTTTCTCCAATCTGGATATCTTTTATTTCATTTTCTTGCCTTATTGCAATGACTCGAACTTCCATTAAACATTTTTTTTTTTTTTAAATGCTACATAAAAGTGCTTGAGAGTGAACATCCTTGTCTTTCTCCTGATCCTAGCAGGAAATCATTCAGTTTTTTCCACCATTAAGTATGATTTTAGGTAGAGTTTTTTTGTAGATGTCCTTTATCAAGTCAAGTTTCCTTCTCTGTATAGTTTTCTGAGAGTTTTTATTAGGATGACTGTTTGAATATATACATATTATATATATATGTATATATATATAATATACATACAAATATAATGTTAGTATGGTAAATTACATCAGTTGACTTTTAAATATTAAATTACTTTTACATTCCTGAGATTAAATCCCACTTAATCATGATTTATTATCATTTTTATATATTGTTGGACTTTATTGCTGAATTAAAAAAATCTGTATTCGTGAGGGATATTAGTATAGTTCATTCTTTTTTCTTATAATGTCTTCGGGGTTGTCAGGGTAATTTGTTACTGGGGTGATTTTGGCTTACTAGAATGAACTGGGAAATATTCATTCCTTTAAAATTTTCTGGAAGAGTCCATGTAGAATTGTTATAATTTCTTTCTTAAATGTTTGACAGAATGCACCAATGAAGCCATTGGGGTCTAGAGATTTCTTTGTTGGAAGTTTTTAAACTACAAATTCCATTTCTTCAATGCACTTTAAGGCTATTTAGGTTATCTGTTTTTTTTTGTTTGTTTGTTTGTTTTGTTTTGTTTTGTTTTTTTTGAGTGAGCTTTACTAGTTTATATATTTCAAATTGGTCCATTTCATCTATGTTGCTGAATTTACTGCTGTTCATAATATTCCCTTATTATCCATTTAATATCTGTGGAATCTATAGTTCTCATTCTTGACATTGGTAATTTGTATCTTCTGGCTTTATCCTGATTAGTGTGGCTAGAGGTTTGTCCTTATTAGTGATCTTAAAAAGTTAGGTTTTGGTTTAATTGATTCCCCTATTTGTTTTCAGTTTTATTAATTTTTGATCTGAACTTTATTATTTCCTTTTTTTCTACATACTTTGGATTATATTTGCTTTTTTTTAAAGTCCTTTTTTTAAAAGAGCAGTCTTAGTTTTTTTTCTCTTTCTTTCTTTCTTTTTCTTTCTTTTTTTTTTTTTTTAAGATTTTATTGATTTATTTGACAGAGAAAGAGAACAAACAGGGAGAGTGGCAGGGAGAGGGAAAGGGAGAAGCAGGCCACTTCCCCCCAACCCCCTGCCACCATGGAGAAGGGAGTCTGATGTGGGGCTCCATCTCAGGACTCCGGGATCATAACCTGAGCTGAAGGTAGATGCTTAACCCACTGAGCCATCCAGGCACCCTAAGAGCAGTCAGGTTTACAACAAAATTCAGACAGAGGTACAGAGAATTCCCATATATCTCTGCCTTCACATGTGCTTAGCCTCCTCTATTATCAACATTACTTACCAGAATGCCAGAATGATAATTGTTTGTTTAACTGAGGATGCACCCACACGGACACGTTATAACTACCCCAAATCTGTAGTTCAACTTAGGATTCACTCTTGGTGTTGTACATTCTGTGGGTTTGGACAAATGTATAATGACACATACAATCATTATGATGTTACATCAGGTACTATAGTATACAAACTATTTTCACTGCCCTAAAAATTCTCTGTGTTCTTCCTACTCATCTCTTCCTTCCCACCTCTGGCAAACACTAATCTTTTTATTGTCTCTATAGTTCTGCCTTTTTCGAAATGTCATGTAGTTGGAGTTGTACAGTATGTAGCCTTTTCAGATTGGCTTTTCACTTAGTACAGGCAGATTTTGTGTTTTGCTTTATTGAGCTTCACAGATAATGCCTTTTTTTTTTTAAACAAATTGAAGGTTCGTGGCAACCTTGTGTTGAACAAGTCTATTGGTGTTATTTTCCCACAGCATTTGCTCATTTTGTGTCTCTGTATCACATTTTGGTAATTCTCACAATATTTCAAACTTTTTCATTATTATTATATCTGAATTGCTGCAGTCTCATGATAAAACTAACAGATGAGGATTTGTTTCTTACGGTTGAGCAAGGAAAGTAGCTTATAAGAGGTGGGATCTGTTCCCGGTGAAGATGCTGTGAAGACTGTTGAAATGGTAACAAAGAATTTCGAATATTATCTAAACTTAGTTGATAAAGCAGTGGCAGTTTGGAGAAGATTGACTGCAATTTGGAAAGAAGTTCTGCTGTGGGCAGAATGCTAGCAAACAACATCACATGTACAGAAAAGTTGTTTGTGAAGGGAAGAATCGATTGTGGCAAACTTCATCATTATCTTATTTTAAGAAATTGCCAAAGCCACCCCGGTCTTCAGCTACCACCACCCTAATCAGTCAGCAGCCATCTGCCTTGAGGCAAGACTCTCCACCAGCACAAAGATTATGACTTGCTGAAAGCTCAGATGATGTTTAGCACTTTTTTTTTCCCAATAAAGTATCTTTAAATTAAGGTATGTACATTGTGTTTTTTAGACATAATGCTTTGCTACACTTAATAAACTACAGTTTTGTATAAACATAACTTTTATGAGCACTGGGAAACCAAAAAGTTCATTTGATTTGCTTTAGAGTGATGTTTGCTTTCTGCAGTAGTCTGGCACCAACCTGTAATCATCTCAGCTATGCCTCTAAAATGTATTTAAGGTTACTATTCCATTGTCTGGATGTACCACAGTTTACTTATCCATTCACCCACTGAAGGACATCTTGGTTGCTTCTAAGTTTTGGAAATTAGGAATTAAACTACTGTAAACATCCTTTATTTGACGGAGTTCACAAGTAGACAGAGAGGCAGGCAGAGAGAGAGGAAGGGAAGCAGGCTCCCCACTGAGCAGAGAGCCCGACTTGGGGCTTGATCCCAGAACCCTGAGATCAGGACCTGAGCTGAAAGCAGAGGCTTAACCCACTGAGCCACCCAGGCATTCCTATGTCTTCCTTACTAATCTGTATACATTTATATCCTTTTCTTGCATTTTGACATTTTAGTAAGTGTTCCCACAATGATGTTGACAAGGATTGATGAGAGAAAACATCCTTGCCTTGTATCTGATCTTAGTGGGAAAGCTTTGAGTTTGATGTTAGCTGTAGGTTTTTTAGTAGATAGTCCTTATCGCGTTGGGGAAGCTCCCTTCTAAGTTGGTTGAGAATTTTTTTTTTTTTTATTACAAATGGGTGTTGAATATTGTCAAGTGCTTTTTCTGCAATTGATATGATCATGTGATTTTCTTTTTTAGTCTCTTGATATGAT